CCCAACTTTTGCATTCCAGTCACCCATTATTATCAATGCATCTTGATTGCATGTTCGATCGATCTCTGATTGTAAGAGTTGGTAAAAATCTTCTATCTCCTCTTTCTTGGCTCTGGTTGTTGGTGCATATGTCTGATAAGGGACGTATATCTAGAATTTATAAAATACTTGAGCACCACAACAAGATAAAGATAAATAATCCAATTGAAAAATGCACACAGGATATGAACAGACACTTCATCAAAGAAGGCATTCAGATGGCCAACAAGTACATGAAGAAATGTTCAAAATTCCTAGCTCTAAGAGAGATGCAAATCAAAATAACTATGAGGTATCATCTCTCCCCAGTCAGAATAGCAAAATTTAACAGAACAGCAAGCAACAAATGCTGGCGAGGTTGTGCAGAATTTGGAACCCTTATTCACTGTTGGTGGGAGTGTAAAATGGTGCAACCACTGTGGAAAGTGGTATGGCGCTTTCTCAAGAAGTTGCAGATAGAGATACCATTTGACCCAGCAATTCCACTACTGGGAATATACCCCAAACAGACCATAACTGACAACCATAATTGACATCCAAGCAGATATATGCACACCCATGTTTATTGCAGCTTTTCTCGCAATAGCAACCCAGGGGCCCATCAACAAACGAATGTATAGAGAAGCTGTGGTATATTCGCACAATGGAATACTACGCTGCATTGAAAAACAAGGAACTCACGCAATATTATTCAAAATGGGTGAGCCTGGAGGACATTATGCTGAGTGAAATATCTCAGTCACAAAAGGACAAATATTGCATTATGCCACTTCTGTAAAATGGGACTGATATCAGGGTTGGGGTAAGACTGAGAAAAACTGGATAAATTGTGTATACTGCACTGAAACAGATGAGGGAAAGAATAATTTAAAAGCGATGTATGATAGGGTATTATGGTTATCACAAGAGTCCTTAATTAAGGTTTCATAGTGAAATGTACTTGGGACGGTGGGAGCGGTGCTCGGTACACTGGGATTGTGTACCAGGGAGGGAGTGTTTCTTTTACTTTTCAAAGAGAGGAGCGAACTGGGGGCGGAAGGCTGGGTGGGGAGAGAAGTGCAGCAATGAATGAATGGAAATCCAAAATCTCTGTAAATGTGCATTAAAATTATTAAAAAAAAAAGAAGTGGCTGGGGAAGGGAAGGTTTGACGAGGAGGAGATTCAAATGTAGGTTTCTTAATTTTGTTCAGTGATGATACTTTCCTGTTACACTAGAATAACAAATTATCGATATATTTGTGTTTAAGGAAAATGGGTTCTATTTTCCAACTAAATGTAACATAGGCCAGTGTTTCCTAAGACCTAGAATCTAGTTTCTAGAGATGCATTGTCTAGTATCATAGGGACTTGCTACATCGGACTATTTCAATTAAAATGAAAGCAAACTTAAATGCAGTTCTTTATTCGCACTTGTCACATTCATGTGTATCTCAGCTGCGTATTGATAGTGCAGATTATAGGACTTCTTATTATTTCAGAAAGTTCTGTTGGGGAGCACTGACCAGCAGTTCCCGTGATACTCAGCCAGAGACTTCCTTGGAGACAAGGATGGCAAAGTTTCATCTCTCATACTTTGGACACGTTGCTAGAAGAGGCTGTTCCTTGGAAAATTGGAAAATGCTTGGAAGGATAGAGGGTCAGGGAAACAGAGGAAGACCCCATAGAGATGGATTGACATGGAGACTGCAGCACTGAGATCAAACGTATCAGAAATGGTGAGGGTGGCACAGGATAGGAGAAGGCTCAGATCAGTTTTCATGGGATCACTGAGTTGTATTTGACTCCAGGCACCTAACAGCAACAATGATTTAGACTATTGTACTCTTCCCACCATGGTCGGAGCTCCACAGGCATGATCTGTAGGACGTTGTGCTGCTAAGTCAAGGGCAGTGCCTCTTACGCCACTCAGATCCACCAGAAGCTCCACAATATAAAGATGGGAAAGATCCTCTTGCACGATTTACAAACTCCCAAAAATCTACTGGATGATCAACTGTATCAATTCAACTCCATGAGTGAATGAGTGGAAGCCACTGCATTGCTAACCTAAGTTCAAAGTTTAATAACCATTTTAACGTCACTCACTGGATGTGTTGTTCACTGCAATTTGTAAAAACATAATTAATAATACAAGATGAATTCAGAAGAAAACATGTTAGCTTGTTATCCAACAGGTTAGTGCAGGAGAAATTCATGTCATTGTGATGTGAAAGAGGGAAAGGAGAGGAGCCGGGTAAGTAAGAACAGTTGGTAGTGTTATTACACTATAAAAAAATCAACAAAACTATTTTAAAACTATATAAACTGTGGTAGAAGAAGGAATAAGCAAGTGATCATGCAATGGAATGCTTTCTCTGAACAAAAGACAACAGTAGCAAATCCAAGTGCCACTTAGAGATGTCTGTATGAAGTGTGTGGGTGTGTCTGTGTGTAAGGAAAACAACAATCTGATTTTGCCCTGGATTTTCTGAGTTTTTCTGTAATTCTACAACAAAGTCAGTTTGAGGACTAAGGTGTGTCTGATTCAGGCCATGTCTTTCTGATCACTTGCTGTGCATATGAGATCTGGCAATGAATAAGGATGACAGAAGAATAATTGATGCCTTTGAGCTGTGGCATTGGAGGAGCACGCTGAACATCCCTTGGACAGCAAAGAGAACAAACAGATATGTCTTGAAGAAAGTGCATCCAGAGTGCTCCATAGAGACAAAGACGTTGAAGCGTCATCTCACATACTTCAGGCACATTACTGGGAAAGGCTATTTCTTGGAGAGGGACATGATATTTGGAAAGGCAGAGGGTCAACGAAGGAAAGGAAGATCCTCAAGCAGATGACTTGAGACAGTGACTGCCACAACAGGCTCTAATGTGTCATAAAAAGTGTGAGGATAGCACAGGATAGAACAGGATTCATATCTGTTATTCATCGGGTCACTGTGGATCGTACTAAATTCATTGGCACTGAAAAACAACAGCCAACTCTAATTCCCTGAATGATACAAATGGGTTAGTGTTTGACTGCCATTGGAGTAGGGACTTGAGTCCACACAGATGTGACTTGAAAGAAGGGTCTGGTGATCTACATCTGAAAGTTCCAAGTCATTAAAAACCCTGGGGAGCCCAGTTCTGTCCATTTGTGTCATAATGTAGCACAATGATTCACTAGCAGCTAGAAGGTTGTTTTTTGACTTGAGATTTGTTGTGTGGGGTTTTTTCCCCTAATTCCTCTTTGGTTTTTATTTCAGATCAATGGCGGAGAGAAGCGGCCTGCCTCTGACATGGGTAAGAAACCTAAAACCCCCAAGAAAAAGAAGAAGAAGGACCCGAACGAGCCCCAGAAGCCTGTGTCTGCCTACGCACTGTTCTTTCGGGACACCCAAGCCGCCATCAAGGGCCAGAACCCAAATGCTACCTTTGGTGAAGTCTCGAAAATTGTAGCTTCCATGTGGGATGGCCTAGGAGAAGAGCAGAAGCAGGTAAGAAGGGGTTCCACATGGAGTGGGGATAACTGGGATATGAGAAAATAGATACACTCTGAAGAAATGAGTTCTGAGCACTACTTCAGTGTCTGGAACTGAAGCCAAGAGCGTGCACTTCCCAGGGCCAGACCTTAGGAGGCTCACAACTATTCTGGTCTCTTGCTTCACCATAAATAGCATATCACTGCCTTTGTCTTAAAGTTGATGTACTGAAGTTGCTTTTAGAAGGTCTTTTGCATATCCAAGCCAAGATTACCTCATTTCTTAAATGTTGCCAGTGTGATCATAAAGATTGAAAGGGGGAAAAGAAATCCCAGAAGTGTTTGGAAGGTTGTCCATACCTCTTTTCAGCATTTAGTATTTACCTCTTTGTCATTAAGACTCTCTTTGCTGTTTGCTAAATAAACCTCAAACTTAAGGGTTTCTACTTCCAGCCACTCCCTAAAGACCACTGGACTGTGTTATTCAGGCCTTCATATGTCATTGTTCTAAGCTGTCACATTCTCCACTCCTGACTGCAGTCACTGAAGGCTGTACTCAGGGAAACCACGTGGGGCACCTTTCACCTCAGCCACAGCATTGCAAAAGGGAGGAGTAACAGGAGACAGAAGGAAAGCTCAGTGAGACCATGTAGCCCACCTCAACCAAGCCTCACCATTGATCCCACTGTTTCCAGATTGGGACCAGATTTCCATATGGACCAGTATCCTCCTTGGAAAGTCTTGCTGTCCAAAGAGGATATTGGACCAGCATTTTTTTCCTTCTTTTTTTTTTTTTTAAATTTAGGTTGTTTATTTTTCATTTCAATGAACATCCACAGGGATTTTGGGATTCCATTCATTCATTGTTGCACCCTTCTCCCCACACAAACCCCTCCCCCCCCCCCCCCCATTTGCTCCTCTCCTTGAAAAGCAAAAGAAAAACTCCCTCATTGGTACACAATCACCCCCCCCCCGCACCTCCCCAAACCCCACCCCCTAGCCCCAAATATAATCCACTCTACAACCCTCATTGCATATTCCTACGATAAAAATAATGCCCTAAAATATAATACCAGCATTTTTAATAAACTGCAAATTTCAGTGCAAGTAAATGCATTGAACTGTCTGTGTAGGTACAGCTTCAGCTGCTGTGGGATCCCAGATTGCCTTAATGACCTGTCAGTCTCATGTTCAACTCTTGAAAAACATGCTTACCTCTCCTTGGCAAGGTGAAGAACAGAAAAATCTCATACCTTTTTGTACATCTATAAGTTCTAGACTGTGCTTCTAGCGGATTGTTTTGAGTATGTAGCAACATCTATAATGTTTGTGGGTTGTTTGGTGTGGGGTTTTTAAACTTTTTTTGCATGATTTTTCTCATTTTTTCTACTCTATATACATATCTGTATAGAAAAACTGTTGTTGTTGTTGTTGTTATGTGTGGTCAAGTCGTTTGCGACTCATAACAGCCCTAAACCCTGCTCTATCCCGTGCCAATCTCATTGCCTCTGACACACCCATCCCGATTACCCCAGTCACTGAATCACTCTACCTCATAGAGGGTCTTCCCCTCCTGCGCTGTCCCTCTACTCTACCCAGCATGATGTCCCTCTCGAAAGACCTGTCTCTCCTTACAACATTTCCAAAGTATGTCAGACGAACCCCCAGAATCCTTGCTTCCAAGGAGCAGCCTGGTTTAACCCTCTCTAGGATGAATCTGTTTGTTTTCTTGGCAGTCCATGGTACATTCAATACTCTTCTCGAGCACCACAGCTCAAAGGCATAAATTCTCCTTCTCCCTAGTTATTGTCCAACTCTCAGATGCATAACAAGCGATTGCAAAGACCATGGCCTGTATCAGGCGCACCTTAGTCTCCAGAGAGACACCATTGCTCTTGAGTACTTCAGAGAGGTCCCTAACAGCAGACTTTCCCATTGCAATATGTTTTTTTTATTTCCTGGCTACTGGTGCCAAGAGTGTTGACCATGGAGCCGAGCAAACTGAAGCTGTGAACAATCTCAATCTCTTCACCATCCATCTTGATGCTACCGATTGGTCCAGTGGTGAGAATTTTTGTCTTCTTGACATTGAGCCTCAGTCCATATTGAAGGCTGCAGTCCTTGACCCTCTTCAGTAATTACATGAGGTCCTCCTCAGTTTCAGCGAGTAGGGTTGTGTCATCTGCATAACGCAGATTGTTGATAGATCGTTCACCAATCTAACGCCATGCTTCTCCTCATAGAGCCCAGCCTCTCGGATAATCTGCTCTGTATACAGGTTGAAAAGGTATGGAGATAGGACACATCCCTGGCGTATACCCTTCCCAAATTTGAACCATGCAGTGTTGCGCTGCTCTGTTCTGACTACTGCCTCTTGGTCCAAGTATTGGTAGGTTTTGCATTAGCACGATTAAATGTTCTGGGATTCCCATTCTTCTCAGAGTAAGCCACAGTTTGTTATGATCCATGCAGTCAAATTCCTTTGTATAATCAATGAAACACAGACAGACATTCTTCTGGTATTCTCTGCGTTCAGCTAAAATCCATCTAACATCAGCTGCAGTATCCCTAGTACCACGAGCCCTTCTAAACCCAGCCTGGACTTATGGCAGTTCTCTGCTGATGTGCTGTTTCAGTCGTTTTTGGATAATCTTCAGTAGAATCTTGCTTGCATGTGAAATCAATGAGATTGCTCTGTAGTTTCCACACTCAGTTGGGACGCCCTTCTTCGGGATGGGAACATATATAGACCTCTTCCAGTCAGTTGTCCAAGTGGTTGTTCTCCAGATTTCTTGGCACAACTTGGTGAGCACATCCATGGCAGCATCTATTCCATGGGCCTTATTTTTTGCTATTTCCTTCAAAGCAGCTTGAACTTCTGCCTTCATCACCATAGGCTCTGGCTCAAATGCTATTCCATTACATTCTTCTGTATCTGCCAATTTTGCAGATTATGAAGCAGGGGTTGGTTGATAAATTAAATGCATCTATTTGTTTAGTTTAGCACTTATTATGTACCAGCAACTGTCACCGGCACTAGTGGGATTAAGATGGATTGTCCTCATTCTGCTGGACGAGCTCTGTAAGATTACACTGTGACCACAAAGAATGACTGTGACCAGAACATGGCATTCAGTTTACAGTTCTTTTTCTAAATGCACCATATGAAATCAATGATGACTTTAGTGGCTAAAATCCAGTTGCTAAGGAAAAAGAAATATCCTCCCAGTTCTCTCAAAACCCCTTTTTCCTGTGTGCCAAAGCTGCCTTCCAGAATTTGCAATGTCCACACAAGTTCTTATGTCCTTTTCAAGATGTCCAGGCCAAGGGAATGCCTTTGTAGGAGAGTATAGACCTGTACGAAGCAGTGGGTGACCGTAATCTTCTTCAAGATCTGGAAACACGGTGAAGATGTTCACTTAGTTAGACACTTACTTAGTGAGAGTGCCCATCTCATTATTTAGAAATAATAATCCCAGCCACTTCCATTCTCTAAATCTTCTAACCGTCTTGCCTTCTTGCTTAAATCCAGGATGTCCACATATCAGGATGACCTCACTCTTTGCTCCAGTCACCCTCAGCTTACTCTTGGAGGTATAACAAGCTCTAATATTACAGTGTTCTGAGGTAGTGCAGGTGATTAAGCCGTAGCCTGCTAACTGAAAGGTTGGCTCTCACAGTCCACCCAAAACCATCTTGGAAGAAAAGCATGGCAAACTGCCTTTGAGAAATCAGCAGCCAAAGACCCCGTGGAGCACAGTTGCATCCTGAACATGTGGGCCTGCCTTATGTTTGATTGTTTGTTTGTTTAACACTAAATTCAGGGTTTCTGGTGAAAATCTCTCGTGGAGTCATCTAGAAAGCCCTCCCTTCCCTTAGCCATGTGTGAGTGATGCTTATTGGTCAGAGGACATATGCTTTCCCATTGAAGACTCAGGCCCTTTCAGCCAACTCAGTGCAGGGCCATACATGCTCCCCTTCACATCTTCCATTTCATCAGGAGTTTTACTCCAACATCCGTTGCCCACATCACGACGTGGCTGATTTTCCTGTGTCTCCCGGGTCCCAGTTACCATTTCTTTTCCCTCATCCCATGGAGAAATTCATAAGGCCCAAGGCCTGGGGGTTTTAAAGAGTTGTTGTCTATGAATCCTTTCCCAGCCCACAACTGATCCTTACATTAGTAGATATTCCTCTTTCCCAGAAAAAAATAATGTCCTTGTGATGGAAATCAGGTAGTTCCTCAAAGTAGCAAATATAAAGCTGTGATTCTTTCTAGTAATTCTATTATCAAAAAGCCTTTTCTAACATTTAAGCAGAGAAAATTACAGTACTCCACACTCTTTTTGTCTGACTATATAAGGTATTTACAGACCCAAAGAACATGAAATTTATTATCCCCAATTGTCATATTAGAAAGGGAAATTGCCCCCATTCTCCAATATTCTTTTTAAATGGAAGTTGAGCCTTTCTAATGTAGATCATGAGCACAGGATGATGTAATGGTAAGGATTCTTAATTGCACATAGGTGATAGAAAAATTCTTTGCTCTTTTTCTTTTGCATTTTATTTTTCATTTTAAAAGTAACTTATAATGGATCTACCTTCAGGCTATTTCATAATGGAAATATTTGAGGACTTATAAATAAAAGATGAAATTACATATTAGTTGTCTTACAGATGCAAGTCTTTCTTGTTTCATTGCACTTTGCTGCATTGAACTTTGCAGATACTGTATTCTGTACAGTTGAAGGTTTGTGACAACCCTGCCTCGAGCTAGTCAGCTGGTGCCATTTTTCCTACAGCAGGTACTTGTTTTGTGTCACTGAACCACGTTTTAGTCATGTTCACACAGTTGCAAACTTTTTTTTATGCTCTTGCATACTTAATAGACTACAGCACAGTTGTATAGGTTTGAGCTCTTCAGGCCCACTAATGGGAACAAATTACATGCTCACCCAGAGATATTTGCAATAGGTGGCATTTTAAGTGGACACAGCAAATGGGCTATTGTGT